CCCCAAAACCCCAAAACCCCAAAACCCCAAAACCCCAAAACCCCGACTAAGGATTTGATGAATGAGTTAATACTAAATACATAACCCGATTATTAAATTAACTTTATTGGCTGAAATGCACCTTCGCTTTCAAATCATTGTTAAGACCCCAAAAAGTTGGTAGAAATTTTAGACTTTTTAACGAGAGAAAATATTGCTCAAAAGTTATTTTCCGATAGTAATTGGACAAATAATGTCTATTGGAAGTGATGTTTTTCTTGAAAATCAGAAGCGGTTTAACCAAGAACTTAAAGTGTGGAACCAAAAATCAAGCTGGTATTTTAAAGGTTTCAGAATGATGAAGATCCTTGCTAAAAACTACGTCATAAAATACGATTTATATCTACTTTTCGTTTATAGTGTCGGTGATTGAGCACTTAGATATCTGATTGGAGTATATTAGCGTGAAGTTTGGTAGTCGTAATGATACCTTCCAAATTATTAATTCTTTTCTAATCTTCAGAGATATTAATACCATCTCTTGCATTTAAGCTCTGGTTTCAAAGCTGTCTCCCAAAATTTCCAGAACTTTTAGTAGGTTTGTGCAAGTGTTATTATTAAAATCAATTAAGATAAATTAAAAGAGAAAAGGTCGCCCTGACAATCCAGAAAGCTGACCTTTGTGATGACCCTGGCGTGTAGCTCTTTGAATGCCTTCGTGTCATTGATCTCCGTCTTTTTGTGATTGTTGATGTGCTTCCAAAAAGCATTCTTATAGTCTAAAGAGCTTTCATACAAAAGCTTTCCAATTTTTATAATGGGATGATTGAGGAGAATCTTCCTTTCCTTGACCTTAGAGCTATTTCTTTGGGTTCTGAACTCTTTACCATACTTGATCAGCTTCTTTCTTTCAGATGTATTAAAGATTTTGAAAGAGTTTATTTTTTCTGTGAATTTCCATCCCATGCAGTTCACACAGATCTGTCCAAGAATCTTTAACTTTGACGTTTTATATAACTCCGGGAAACATGATCCAACAAGGTTAATCCAGACTTTAAGCTTCTTCTCATTGTTGGTTGCTTTGGCAGAGCGAACAACATCATTAAAAAAGTCCTTAGCTACATCGCAAAGTCCCCGGATTACTCGCTTTTCGACCAAATCGGAACGCTTCCAATTAGATTTGTAAGCTCTTGCTCCTTCAGTCATTGGGATCTCAGAAAGACCGACTTTTTCAGAGCCTTTATAATTCTCAACTGAAATATTGGAGTGGTAGAAGTCTTCTTGCTCAATCTTTATCTTAGCTTCTTCCTTGAGATCTTCTCTTGAGAAAGTGCATGGGGTCGCTTTCTTGGTTTGAACTTGCCCCGCATTTTTAGGTTTAGGGTTAACGCAAAAGTCCTTCATAGCATGATCAAACTCCCATTCGTTGAAGAAGATGGGATCATTGGTGAGCTCGTCCTTGAACTTAGCCTCGAGCCATTTCTGCAGCTTCTCTAGCTTGTGATCAGTTTCTCCATTGGATAACTCTCTGATCAACTGGTTACTAGAGTTGACATTAGTGGTTTGGTTCCCTTCTTGTTTGATGTCCTCATGATTTACAGCATAGTCTAAAGTAAACCGGTCGGTAAGGTAAAACGAAGAATTAGCAATTGTTTTAGTAGAAAATGGTGCACAAAAGCCTCCTTGAGCTCTGTGGGGAAGTCCAAAGCTCAAAATTATCTTAAGCTTTGTATAAGAACTTACCAAAATAGTCTCCTTGCTCCTTTGTGAAGTATGGAAATCGAGTGTTGAGGTTAAATACTTGGGTTTCTATATAATCATTAGCTAAAACTGAAGTATGTTTCAACAAGCCTTAAATAAGCCACCGCCATTGTATAAATCCCTCTCATCTCAAACCCCAATGCCACCCTCACTCAAGCTTCAGCCAAGTCTATTCGGACCAAAAGTTTGAACTATGACAAAATATTTTATTCACTCTTAATCTTAAATAACCCAAGTATATATTCCCTCAACTCACTTCTTAAGATGACATTTTTAAGCTTTGCTCTTTTACCTATTGGGTCAGACAAGTTAGGTACCTTTATTTCTAATTCCAAAGTCTTCAAGCTGACGTTGGAGCACCTCTTCGGTGATCTCAGGGTTGTCTAGAGTAGCGGTTAGCTTCTCTATTAGGGGTCTAAGCTGGATCTTATGGTCCATAGGATCCTTAGAGACAGCCTTAGAGTCTTTAGTCTTGAACTCATTGTAAATTTCTCTAACTGTATCATCTACAGAGTCTATATGTAACTAAGTTTGCATACCAATAATCATTTTTTTGTCATCAGGATGCATATCATTAGTATCTTGGTTTTGTTCCATTAATATGAATTTGTTTGATAATATTGATTTTAACTATTTTCATTTTTTTTAATATTAATCGGGGTTTTGGGGTTTTGGGGTTTTGGGGTTTTGGGGTTTTGGGGTTTTGGGGTTTTGGGG